AGGGCGCTCCGAGGAGCACCCCTGGCGGGAAACCTCGCCCCGACCTCTCCCCCCCCCNCCCCCAACTAGAAGAGAGCTCCGGAAGGCACGGCCGTGCCCCGGCGGTGCGGTGCAGCTCCGTAGAGGGCACGGGGCCCCGAGGGGGCGGCAGCGGGCGGCTCAATGGGGTGTGGGGGGAGAGACCCCTTTCCCCCATCCTCGGGGGGTAATTAGGGGTGACACGGAGGGGCTGCGGTTTCTGCTCGGTGGAGCTGCCGGCGACCAACCCCCGCCGCCGCCGCCTTCCTCCCGTCCTCCTCCTCTCCCCCTCCCTCCTTCCCTCCCTCCCCCCGCCTTCTCCCCTCCCCCTCTCCCTCCTCCTCCTCTCCGCCATGGTTGGAGTGAATCGGAGGCTGCCGGGCTGACGTCAGTGCGGGCAGAGCCTGCCGCCGGCGGCAGCTCCTGGACACCGACCAGAACCGGCACCGGCAGCAGCCGGCAGGATGCGAAGAGCCCGGGCACCGCCGCCCCCCGCACCGGGGGTACCGGGGGCGCCGGGAGCAGAGCCCTGCCCGCCCCGCTGCTCTCCCTCCGGGAAGGGCGGCCCCCGCCGCCCGCTTCGCCCACGGACGGCCCCGTCGCTGCCCTCGCCTCGGCTGCAAGCGTGAGTGTGGCGGCACCGGGGGTCCCCGGGGAGGCTGCGGGGCGCGGGGGCTCTGCCCCGGTGGGGGAGGAGGAGCAGTGAAGGGAGAGGAGAGTGAAGGGGAGGAGATGTCGAACATCTCCCCGCCGGGAAGTTGTGTCCCTTCGGCTGCGGGACCCTGCTGACCCGCGCCGCTCCCAGCTCCACCGCCCGTCGGGGCAGGCAGCCCGCGGCCACGGCGGCTCCGGCGCACAGCACGTTAGCGGGAGGGGGGGCATCGGGTGCCCCCGGGCTCCTTTGGCTGCCGGGGCCGCTCTGCTCCGGGCAGCGCTCCCCGCGTGTCCGGGACGGGGCAGCCCAAAGGGGCGAGCGGTGCCCCGACGGGGCGGCGAGGAGCCGGGGCTGAGCGGGGCCGCACGCTGCTGCCGGCTGGCTCCCGAATGTCCCCGCTGGCCGGACGAAGCGGCGTGCGGCGGGCGGAACGCCTGACCGAGGCCGAGCCTCGCGGCGCATCCCGGCGTTAGGCCCCGGGTGAGACCCGGAGCTCCGGGGCTTTTCCTTCGGACGCAGCAAGGGCTGCTGCGGGGCATCGTTCCATGGGTGGGGGACACCGCGACCCCCCTCGGGTTCGGCTCCGAGCTCGGCGCCGGGGCCGCTCCTGCCCATACTGCGATCTACCGGCAGCCTCTGCTGAGGGAGGATTTTTTATTTCACATTTGCTTCTCTCTGTACCTTTGCTTCATTTTCACCCCTCTTTTCTTTCTTTTCTTTCTTTTTTTTTTTTTTTTTTAAATCTTTATAATTTATTTTATTTATTTTTTTATTCACTTCGATATTTTTCTCCCATTCATTCTCTGCCCTCTCCTTCCTGCGAACGTTTATTTCCTTGCTGCTTTTTTTTTCTTTCTTTCTTTCTTTTTCCCTTACACCCCTCCTTTTCCCCCCCCGTGTCTCCTGGAAGTAAAACGCATTTTAGGCCTCATCCTCACGGAAACCCGACCCGTAGCAGTGCAGGTGCATTGGCAGCACGTACCGCCCGGACCTCCCCCGCAGCCCCTCGACGTGAGCCCGCCCCACAGAGCGAGGAGGGTCCGGGGCCGTCCCACCCTCAGTCCCGGCCCCCGACGGCCGCAGGAAGGAGCAGCCGAGCTGTGGGACCCTTCGGCTGAGCCTTTCCAGCGCCGTGGCGCGCTGAGATGAGGCTTTAAATTGCAAAACAAAGCAACGCGTTTCCTGAATGCCCGTCGGGAGCCGCCGCTCCTGTGAGTTGGCGAAACCCCGATTGTGGGAGGAAAAGCGAAAAACAATTAAGACACGATGCAGCTCGGGGCGGCGAGGCGCGGGGGTTACTCTAGGTTGGCTAAAAATAACTTCTCCTAATTAAAGAAAAGTGACGTCAGACGTGCAGGACGTAGAAGAGGGGAAGGCAGCGGACTCGGCGCGGGGCGATCACGTTCAATAATTCAGGGGAACGGGCACCGGGCCGCTCCGAGGTGCGGGCAGCGAGCGGCTCCCCGTGCACGACCCCGGCTGCGGGATGGCTGAGGAGGGCGGCATCGCTTTCCCGAGGAAGGGAGCGGAGCGACGCCGATCCACGGTGCGGAGCTCCGTGCTGCAGGCAGGGCCCAGGGCGCGGAGGCCCCGCGGGCGCGGAGCGGCGGCAGTGCAGCACCATGGCCAGAGCCGCGCCCGCCCCGTCGGGGCTGAGGTCGGACCGGAGAGGGGTGTAAAGGTCCCCGCGCAGCGCCGGGGGATGGCTGGGAGCGAACCCTCTGAACCTCCGCCTGGCGATGGGGAGACCTCCCCGCTTTTTCTCGGAGATATCGGGCTGTAGCCGAGGAATTGTGATGGCTTTTTTTTTTTTTTTTTTTTTTTGCGTGTGCATGCAGGAGAAGCGCAGTTGTCCCCATGTCCCCATGTCCCCGGGTCCCGCCGTGCCTGCGGGTGCGGGGGCTGCGGGCCGTCTCCAGGCGCTGCCCGCTGTGCCTTTCTCGGTGCCAAGGAGCCATTTTGTGCGCTTAAATTGCGCCCGAAATAAATAAATAAAAACAATAAGAAAATAATAATAATAATAACAATAATAGTAATAATAATAAATACCAACCCGACGTTTAAGCAACGCCGAAAAACCTCTCAAACGCAGACAGAGATTTTTCTCCTGGGCCTCTGCCTGCACGGAGCGGGCCGAGGCGGGCGCTCGCAGCCGAGCGAGGCGTTGCCGAATGAAGCGGGAATAAATATATGGAGATATTCGTGCTTCTGCGAGGATAAATCGCGTCCTTCACCCGGCGGAGAGGGGGCCGCGCTGCACTCCTCGGCCTCGGCGCGGTGCCTTCAGCCGAGCGCTGCCGCGGCCTCGGAGCGGGGACGACGGGGACGAACGGGGCCGGGGAGCGGAGCGGAGCCGCGGGGACAACGTGGCCGGCAGAGGGGGGAGGCGAGCGGAGGGGATCCGCGGGGAGGACGGGGCCGCCCGCGGGGGGAAACTGAGGCCGGCCGCTGCCCACGGATTGCGGCAGCGTTCGGCCCCTCCGCCCCGGGGGGTTCACCTTCCCCCGCCCCACGCGGGGAACGCACCGGCGGCGATCACCGTCACGGCGGCCGCAAGAAATGAGGGGAAAATCCGGAGCCGGAAAATTAAGAAGATCCGATTTGTAGCAATTTTTTTTTTTTTTTCTTCCCCTCTTTCTCCAGGGCTGATTAAAATATCCACAACCAAACCCTTCCCGAGCGGCTCGGGGCCGCGGGGATGGCTCCGAGGGGCTCGGGAAGGAGCGGAGATTTCCCCCCGGCCGCTGCGGGGCCGTCGGGGCAGCGGGGTATCCCCGGGCCCGGTTCTCGTTAGGGAGAGGCGGCCGGGAGCCGGGAGCTCTGTGCTGTGAGCCGAGCTGGCAGCGCCGCTCCTACAGCTTTTAGCTTAATTGAGCTCGTCTATTTTATTCCTCTCCTTTTGATTTTATTTTATGATTTTATTTTGAAGAAGGAGAAGGGAAGCGGGGAGAGGAAGGAATAAAGGACCCGAGCGGAGCCGCTGGGAACGCGGGCGGCACTGGGAGCCGCGGCCGCTCCCGCAGCGTTCGGTCCGTCCCCATCTCCCCCGTTTTGTGGAAGGTCACGTTTTAGTTGAGCCCCGGATTGAAGGGAGAGGGAGGTTTTAGGAGCGGCGACGGATTATTCTATGAATTTTTATTTCTTTCTTTTGATTGCATTATTTATTTATTTCGCGGTGTGTAGGTCAGATCAGCGTCTCAGATAAGCGTATTTCCCTCCTGGCATTTGGTTATTATTCTCACCGTTGTTATTATTTGTGTGTGCCGGATTTGTCACTACACGAGTACGGCGCTGACAACCCGCGAGGGAAACAGCGAAATGCGGAGGGGAAATAATTAAAATGGGGGAGAAGGAGGTGTCGAGGGGATCCGTGCGGGATCGCAGCGCTTCCTCGGCCCGGAGCTCATCGGGACGGGGCTCTTGGGGGCAGAGCACGGACGGGGCGGGTGCCGCGAGGCTGAGAGGGCAGCGGCGTTGTGGGACAGAAGGAAAAGGAATGGGAAAGGGGAAGGAAAATGTAGGGAAAGGGGAAAGGAAGAGGAAAAAGTCGGGGAAAGGGAGAAGAGAGGGCGAAGGGCGAGGAGAATGAAGAAGTTGGCCGCAGGGCCGTGCGGGGGGTGCCGCCCGCCTCTGCCGAGGGGACACTGCGGGGAGGGGGAAGCGCGGCGCAGCCCCCAGAACAAGAGCGGAGGGGCGGCACGGCGGGCGGAGGGAGGCCGGACCAGGAGAGAGGCGAGGGGGGGGGAAGGGGCGTCCCGAGCCGAGCTGAGTCGTGCGGGTCCGTGAGAGCCCGCCCCGTCCTGCCCGCCCCGTCCAGCGGGGATCGGCCGGGCCGGGGTGCGAAAGCGCGGGAAAGGGGGCGCTGATTTAAATGCGGGCCGAGGATTGGCTGAGCGCGGCGTGACGTCACTTCCCAAAGGGGGCGATTACCATGCGAGGGGAGTAGAAGTTGGGCAGCGGGGCGGGAGCGCGAGTGCTGCTGCCGGGTCGGTACCGCGCCGGGCTCGGCTCGGCTCGGCTCGGCTCGGCTCGGCTCGGCTCGTCTCGGCTCAACGCGTTCTGCCTCCTCCTCGCAGCGCTGCTCCGTCTCTGCTCCGCATATTCATCTTTTTTTCTCTCTCTTTTTTTTTTTTTTTTTGTCTCCGTGGTTCCCCGGCGGCAGATCCCGGCCGCTCTGCCCCGGCCGTGCGCCTTCGCCCCGCGCCCGACGGACAGCAGCCCCCGACGGAGGGATGTTTCTGTCTTTGGTTATCTAGCTGTATGAGTGTTGTGGAGCCATCATAAAGCTAGATAACCGAAAGTAGAAATGACTTCCAGACCTGCACGCCCGGGGGAAGCGGCTGCAGCAGCACCGGCGGCCCCGCAGCCCGCAGCAGCCCCGCCCGCCGCCCTCCGCCCGCCACCTCGGGGCTCCAGGTAAGCGCCCGCCCCGTCGGGCCGCTCCGCCGCGCTCCGGGCAACGGTACCCGCGGCTTCGCGGCACCGGGCGGGAGGGACGGGGAGCCCCGTGCACACGCGCTCAGCTCCAGGTAGATGGAAGCGGGTTGGAAGAGATGAGCTCCCCGGGCTGCTCTGCTAACAAAGCCCCCCCCCGGCGCAGGCTGCGGTCAGACCTCGATAAAAACCTGCTTAGTGATATTTTATCCTCTCCTCCTCCCTATTTCTTCTCTCTCTCTCTCTCTCTCTCTCTTTTTTTTTTTTTTTTTTTTTTCCGGCTTTGGGCTTGACCCCGGCCTCCCCTTGAAGGCCAACTTGGCGATCATGCCTGCACTTTCCTTGTGAGTTCGCTGTTGCTGGGGAGGTCTGCAGGGACGGGATCCCCAGGACGGGTCCCGCAGCCCAGTGCTCCCCCCCGGCAGCGCAGGCACAGAGCCTCCCGCACCTCCGCCGCAAGCCCCAGAAGTTGGAACGTAATATGTATTATAGTGTCTGGCAAATAATAGGGAGGGGAAAAAAAAAAAAAAAGGAAAGAAAGAAAGGGGAAAAAAAAAAACACACCAATTGGCAAATCTGCATTCCGTTCCCATGGCGACACAAAGCACCGCGCTCTCCGCCGAGCCGCCCCGGCACGTTTTTGCAGCCGGTGTGGGGTGAGCACCCCTGGTTGGGTTTGGGGTCCCTGAGTGCCCCGTGGGTCACTCTTAGGCTATGGCCGCAGCCCCTCGTCCGGTGCCCGCGGGGACGATCTCTGCGCCCTCGGGGGCCGTGAGAGCCCCGGGGCGGGGTGGATGCAGAGGGAGCCGTTCCCACCGCCTTTCCGGGGCTGTTCGCTGCCCCCGCGGTGCGGGAGAGGAGCGAGATGGGCAGGATGCTGCCGCGCTCCCTCTGCTTGCACGTATGGGTGCGGGTGCCCGGCCCCGTCCTTTTGGCAGAGGGGAGGGGGCAGCATCGGGGCCTGAGCCCGCACCCATTTGGGTGCGAGAGTGTGAAAAGTGGAAGCTCCATGCGCCCAGGGGCTCTGCACCATCCCCAGCTCAGGGCCAGCACCAGCTGCCGCGGAGACCCTTTCCACGGCCAAGGCACCGCTGTAACCCCATCAGGAGAAAGGATCTCAGCCTGAATTCGGCTGTACCGTGGGAAAGCAAAGTTCCGAGGAGCGCTGTTAATAGAGATTCTAATGAGGAGTCATTGGAGAAATTAAAAAGGGGCAGAGAGAGACGGCGGCGGCAGTGCTAATTCCGCAGGAAACCTCCCAGGGAAAGGCAGCGCAGGCAGGAGCGCTGGGAAGCATGAAGGCCTGGAATTAGACTATCATTTAGAAAGCGTTACTAATCTGAAGTTACAGCGGTAATTCCGTGATTTGCTGGGTCCCACACGCAGCGCCAGAATTAAAGATACGGATTTTGGAGAAATGTAACTCAACGGCGGCTCCGCGGCTCGGCGAGCGCCGAATGAATCATTCATTCCAAAGGCAGCGAAAGACGTGTCATTAGGAGCCGACCTCCTTCTCTCCATCTGGAATATGCGTGCTCCATGCAACCCCAGAAATTGTGGAAGGGATCGGAGGTGGGAGGAGGGAACGCAGCCCTTTCACTCCTCCATTACGTTGGTTATTTATAAGAAATAATTTTCCAATTATTTTGCGCAGTGTTGTGTTTGGTGCTCTGTTCCTCTATTTATTTATTTTTCCCCCTGTGTGATAGCACCAAGTCAGGTGCGGTGGAGATGCTTTAAAACTGGAGCGAACAAAGCGAGCAAGGTGCTTGATGAATGCATTTATTCCGGAGTAATGATTTGATGGGGGATGGAAGAAAGAAACATTCAAATTCCTAATGAATGTAATTCAGGGGGAAGCGTTGGAGCGGTGGTGGAGGAGAGCTGCGTGCTGGAGTGCTGCTGCATGGCACAGCCCAGGAGGGAGTTCTGTCCTCAGCTTTTGTAGTAGCAAAAGGTGGACATTTAAAAAGAAAATCCAAGGAAAAAAAAAGTGTGTGTGTGTGTATCTATCTATCTATATATACACACACATAATAAGTGTTTGTGTGTGTGTATATAAATACATAGATATAATTGATGAAATAAAATGGAAGTGTGGCGATCAGGGTGAGCACATGAACTCCTACGAAGGACGAGGCGAGCTCTGTCGCCTTGCTGTTGGACCAGGTGCTCAGACAGCACCCTCAGCTCCCCAGTTTTCCCCCTCCAAAGCCATCTGCTCTCAGCTGACTGGGTGTTTTGCAGGTTGTAGGGCTGGTCCACGTATCTCAGAGCCATTCCCCCAAAGCAGGCTTCAGGCAGGGATGGAGCACTTTGCCCTTTATGTTCTGGGCAAGAGAAGCTGTGGTCACATTTTTGCTGGGGTTTCATTCTGCGCTTTCACCCTGGGAGTTGGCAGTGAGGGTGCACCCATCCTCACTACAGTGCCTGCCTTGCAGCCCAGTGCCACTTCCCCACTTTCTGCCTTCTGATGGGCCTCTGACCCACCCCCTTTGGGCACAGAATGGGTTTTGGTGAGCAGGACCACACCTGAAGCATCTCATCAGCTTGCTGCTGCTTGGCCCTGTGCTCTACTGGTGTCAGTGTCCTTCCTTCCTTCCTCCCAAATCCAGAAGGACGGTGCCTGCTTGTGCCCCCATCACCTGTGGGGCGGTGTGATGCTGCAGGCAGGGAGCAGAGCGTGGCTCCCAGGTCCCTCCTGCTGCTGGCGGCAGCCCCTTTGCAGAGGTACAGGGTGCAGTGAGGGTGGGGTGATGTCTCTGAGGCCGGGTGTGATGTCTTTGTTCTTCAGCAGTGCTGGGGGTGGGCAGATGGAGACGGGGATGTAAGGATCCTCGGGGGTAAGTGGAAAATGCCATTAGGGGATCAGTGCCATAGGGCATCGCGTGCTCAAACTCCTTTATTTATTTCTCTTCTCCAAAACTTCTCTCCATGCAGCGGGATGGGCTCATGGATTTGTACCCAGTGCCCAACCCGTGTGGCTCTGAGTGGGTGGGGATGGGGCTGCCCGGTGCCTGCTGCTCCAACAAGCTGTGCTGAATGGAGGCAGGGCCGCTTGGTTATGGATGAGATCCCATCAATGGGCATTTTTGTGGAATTGCCTGGCGATGGCTGGTGTGGAGCTGGAGGCCTGGCTCCATCGGTCCTTTTGTTTCCGTGATTCATCGTGTGCTGCCTTCACCCACCTGTCCCTGTGTCCTGGCTCTGTCTGTGCCATGGGGCTGCGCTCAAGGCCCTACCCAGGTCTGTAGCATACAGTTCCCATCCTCTCAGGGCAGGACCCTCTGTGAATACCAGGTGCTAATTTGACACTGAGAGCTTTTCAGAGCTGTGAGCACGAAGGTGCTTGCATCTCACACGTGGTGGAGGCGCCACGTGTCACCTGGGCGCTTTGTCATCCCAAATTCTCACAAGCTGTTGGGGTTGGTGCTGTGAGATGGGGACATCGCCGCCTGTGCCAGCTTCCCTCTGCCACCCACTCCAGGGTGGCTTGCTGCTTTTTGGCATTTCTTGCCTCAGAAAACGTTGGCAGAAGCAAGGTGTGCAGGGTGGGGACAGAGCTCTGGGTGCCACGTCTGTGTTTGTTCAGTGGCTCAGGTTGGGCTTAGGGGCATTCACTTGCATAGCTCAGGAATGGGGGTAAAAAAAAGAAAACAGACTGGGGGAGAAAGCACACAATCTCCGTCAGTTAGCTGTCTCTTGGAAACTCGGTTTGCTGTTCCTATAGAGGCTTTCTCTTTTCCTTCACCCTGGTCTGGCCTTAAGTACCACTTTAAGTGGGCTTTGCTCATTCACATCCAGGCTCCTTAGAGCAATTGAGCCCGCGGGGGTTTGAAAAGAAGGGACAGTCCCTCAATGGCAGGACCTTGGGCCAGGCTAATTGGTTTTGGTTCAAGGGGATACTGGATTTGTGAAAAGCCCAAAGCCATCTTTCCCACGCCAAATCCCAGCCCTTCAGAGGGGGAAGTGTGGGGTGCCAGGTGGGGAAGGAGCTGGAAGAAGGGTGATGTGCTCAGAGCTCTGTCACTGCCCCGACACCCACCGGCCCCTGCAGGGATGGGCACCCCGTGGTAGCACAGGAATGGGTCCCTGCTCTATGGGGACGGATCCCTGCTCCATAGCACCATCCTGCTTTCATTTAACCTTGGCTTCAAGGCTGCCACAGAGATGCTGGGAGGAGCAGAAGGATGGGACCAGGGGAAAGCTGGCAGCACCAAGTCGCATCCGTGCATGTCTTTTATGTCTCATTTTGGTTTGAGATTTTATTTTTTTCCCCTTACGCTGAATCTCTCTGGCACCATTCCAGCAGACCCAGGACCTTTGCTCTCCCAGATCCATAAAAATCACTTAATTATTGGACCGAAAATCAAGGCTTGGAAACAAAGCCAGCTTATGGGACTATCATTTCTTGATGTATTTCCTGCGAGGACATATTTCTGGGCACCTTCAGAGCCGTGCACACAGTGCGTTGGATATGAGATATCAAGGCATTATTTATTGAGGAAGTCTTCACACTCCCTCATCTGTTATAATTAACTGATGACATTTTTTCTAAGGTTCAAAATATGGTGAAAAAGTATAATTAGCGCGAAGCTGAGGCACTGCATTAAAATGTCTCCTATAGTTAATGTAAGATCTTGCTGCTATTTATTATAGGAGGGGTCGGCTCTGACCTCTGTGTTGCCTAACACTTTTTATTGTAAAGATTCTTGAACTTTTTTTTTCTCTTTTTGAGACCCTCTGACACTCCCATTGTTTGCTGCGGGCCCTTGAAATTCGGTGGGGGGAAGCTGTTCGGCAAGAGCGATGCCTATTCTTTGTCCCCTAAATTCCTTTCAGGTTTAGCTGAATTATGAATCATTCAGAATCGCAATTTCCCTTTGGTTGCCTCTTTGAGGCAGGGGGAAGAAAAATAAATGTGCTGTTTCTCTGGAATAATAATCACAACAAACCAGAAGCGCGGTGTCCTGGCACGACTGGGTTGGATGGAAGAACCATCACGACCGCCTCTATGAGCCCCCTCCACATCCAACCGATCTGTGCCCCGATCTCCCGGCACCAAACTCGGTGCTGAGAGGAAAAAAATGTATTTGTGTGCATGGGTCCTGCCAGCCCCAGCGGTTCGCCTTCCTGCACCGCCGACCCCGGGAGAGCAGCCTTCTGCCGCTGCCAGATAACATTAGCTCTGTATTTCATAGTGGCAGAAATCTGTGCCGAGGCTTCGGGCTCGAAATCCCTCTCCCCACAATGAGCATGGGGCGGAGGGAGGGGAATTTGCTACACTTGCGTACAATTGTTTTTTTTTTTTTTTTTTTTTTGCTTTTTGCTTATATAAACAATGTATTATTTATTAGGCATAAATAATACATTTTCTGTATGTTTAGAATGCACGTGATTTCTGCAGATTAAAAATGTACAGGGTGTAAGGCACTGAACCGAGCGCTCGCAGGTCGGGGTGTACGACTGCGCTTTGGCCGTGGGATGTAATTCAGCCTCTGCTGGCCGTGCCCATCTTGGGCTGCAGTGACTCGGTCACAGCCTATTTATAGCTTGCTCCCTCTTTCCCTGATCGGGGTAGACGCACGGCGAGGTGGAATTGAGGTTGCATGGACAGCCGTAAATTGAGCCTTTCCTAACTTGTGAAGTGCTTGACCACGGAGTTCAAACGAGGCCTTTTCAGGGCTGGGTTTCTGCATGTGGCATTATTGGTGTTGGGGATGAAAAATGCAGGCATAGAGAAGCCATAGAACAGCAAAGCCCGATTGGACTATTGAAAGTGCTCTTTGAATAGGTGGGGGAGTCAACAGAGCCTACACTTGATCTGAGCTCAATGGCCAAGAAGATGTCTCCAAGCTGAAAGGAGGAAGCCTTTGTTCCGCAAGCACCAGCCACGATGTTTTCTTTGCCTTTGGTTTTGTCTCGTTCACTCCTAGGGAGATTTGGGCTCCTCTTGAGGAATCTTTGTTGTGTTCACTGAAATTGCACTTGGGAAGCTGGTGTGGCCTTAGGAGGGTGCACACATGCGTGCTCTCGGCATCGCACCTCCCGACGTGCGCTGCCTGGGTCCTCGCCTCGCATGCTCCTTCTTCCCATGGAGCACATGTTGGAGAGAAAAGGGAGGCCTTTGTGCATTGTATGGGAGATTTAATCTCCTTTTTTTTAACTGCTGGAAGAATTTCCTCCACTTTCCTTGGGAACTGATGGCATGTGATGCAGATTCATCTTTGCTGGAGATGGCTTTCTTTTTCCTTTTCTTTGTTTCCTGGGAATTCTCTCCATTCTGCCTTGCAATATCTGTGAGGACACGTTTAGTTCTCTCTGTTTTATAGCAGAGAACTCCAGCCATTTTTGCCTCATGGGTTCCTGCAGTCTGGTACCCTACAGGGACTTCTCCTGTGTTGGTCTATCTATGTGCGCCACATTGGGCTTTCCATTGTGTGGGTACTGCCCGGCCTTCCACGAGCATCTTCTTCATAACTTTCCCCCTCTCTCCCACATCTCAGTTCAGCAAAGGGCCTGTCTATCTGGATGCAGGCAATAAATGTCTGTTCTCACCCTGACTTCTGTTAATGAGATAGAGACAGGTAAGCATCACACATACCAACTTTCCTGCTCTCAGCAACATCAAGGAAACGGTGACAAGCTATTAATGGAAAGTGATGGTCTGGGTGCTAATTAGTGCTTCCTTTTCAACTTTTACCTCCATGTCTCCGCGATGCCCATCCCAGCCTCTCCTTTCTCCTTGCATCTCTTTGTTTCCAGCACGTTCCTCGTTCACTGCACACATCCCATCTTGAAGGGGCTTCTCTGTTTTTTTCCTACAAATTGCTTGCTGCATCTCTTCGTTCTCTTTTTGTAGCTTTTTTTCCCCTTAGTAATTGCTGCAATTGCTGCCTGTACCTCCTTTCTCCAAAAGAATGAGCATGATACTGTGGTGAGGTCTGAGACCTTGGGGATTGGGCCATACAAAGTTGGTCATGAGTTTCTCATCTTCATCACCGGGCTGTGATATCTGTATGTGGCACCAGTGCATGGGGTCACAGCACCCTGGGGACGTGAGGTCAGAGATCTGTCCCCTCTTCCCACAGGTAGCGCTATTGGGAGTCTCCCAGCAGCTCCCAGGTCCTGGTCACAGAGCAATTAGTATTAAAGCAGATCCAGTGGTGATGCCCAGAGACAGATCAGGATGGCTCTCTGCTGTGTGAACCTGTAGGAAATGACAGGTTCTGCAAACCCCTAAGTGCTCTCACTTGCCACCAGGTCCAGAAGGGGCTCTTTTTTCCATCTCCACCCCAATCCCTGCTGCTGCAGCAGTATGATGTCTGGCCTCAGCTTGATGCCCACTCTTTCCCACACCTCTCTCCTGTCTCCTAGGCTTTCTGGCTTCCTCGAGGACCTGACTATTCCCTCCTCACTGCTTTCACATGGGCTGTGCTTTTCCTGCTGCCAGGTGCATCCCACAGAGCCGCCTAATCTGCCCCTGTCATTCCCAGTCACAGGCTCAGCACACACCATAGCTTTGTGGGGAATGTTCGCAGGGCAGCTATGGTTTGCATATTAGCTAATTAATCTTCATGACCAAACGATGCTGCCTGGTCTCCTGTTTATGCTCTTTGCTGCTCCCCTCTCCCTCTCCTTGCTGACACACACACGAGACGACACATCTCCTCCGAACGTCAGCATCCTCCTGCAGCCTTGAGCTGCGAGTGGTTATTCTGTTGGCTTGTCAAACGCGGGTTTCCCAGCTTCATGGTACACAGGGGCCCCCTGTTTCACATTTGCTGATTCTTATTAGACCCAGCGCACGAGGGCCCCGTCTCTCCCAGCAAAGCACCGCGCTGCATCCCATCCATAAATCCAAGCCTGGAACAAAGCCTCCTCTACCCTGCCCCATATTTCTACCCAGCCTGCCCGCTTTCCCCTCTCTCTCCCTTTCTTTCTCTCCCCCTCTCCCATGCTGAAGGTTTCCTAGTGCCAGGGAGATATGATAATTCTTGTGAAGAGAGCATGAAATGCCTCTGCTCTTTGTGTCTGTTTAATTCAATGAGAATCCCAGCCCCAGATGTCATGAATGGTGGGCTTTGTGCTGGCCCTTCCTAAGCCCTAACCGCCAGCCCTGCTCTCTGTCTTTCTTGTTTCCCACCACTGGATACTGATTAACAAACTAAATTATTTTTCCTCCCTAATGATGTTTTCCCACTTTGCCCACCAGGCTGGAAGAAGCCACGGGGAGGAAAGAGTTTGTGCAAAGGATGAGATAGCCAGGGAGAAAATTAAAGAGACAGTGTTGCTCTCTGGGCTCTGGCAGCACAGGTCCGCTCGGCTTTATTTCCTTATTAGAGGACATGGTCGTGTCTGGCTGTATTTTACGTGGCTGTGTGTATTTCAGCTGAGGGGATGGGCTCGAAAGCATCTGCACAAGGTATGCTCTGAAGCACGCCAAGGTCCGTAACTCACTCGCAATTGTGTACATAAGTCTGCAGGGTCCCAAATTTAAGGCCTCTTTTCCAGCCCTTTCTTCATGAGCGATGTTTGGTAATTACTTGACATCCATCCATACATGTAGGAGCGGCTTTCTAATTGAGACAAATTCTCTTTTCCTTAATCAGAGCTGACTGCGAGTTCATGGAGCGGGATGCCTTGGGAAGGGATAGGACGTCTCCACCTGAGCGAGGAGAGGTGAGTCCCTGGGAGTCATACTGAAGGACTGAGTCCCTCTGTACAATGGGAGAGCAGCTCTTTTACCAGCTCCCTCCTGCAGCCAAATTTCCCAGCGAAGCTATTGAACCAGGGCCAGTTGTTTACTGCTGCTAGAGAAGGCCAGCGGTGATAACCCAGTGAGCCCATATGGAGCTGGAGGCGAGTAGCCAAGGTGGACTGTGCAAAGTCTACCTGCTTCCCAGAGCCTAGCAGTGCTCTTTGCTACACACCAATAAGGCTGTGGCCAGCAAACACCCTCCTGGAGCTGGGAGAGAGGGTGGGTGCAAACCTATGCCAGCAGGAAAAGCAGTAGGGAGGAAGAAAGCCTCAAAAACATAAGGTTTGAATGGTGTAGTTGGGAGGTAGTATGAGAGGTGTAGCTGGGAGTCATTGAGGTGGGCAGGTGGTTTGGCATTTTGCTTTTGTTTGTTGTTCCTTGGTTTAGATGCAGGCAGGAAGAATAAGCAGAGAAAAGGGTGTTGCTTGCCTGCACCCACCAAGCACAGCCAGTGCATACAGCACAGTACTGCCTTGTGTACGGCCTTTGCTTCCCACTGCAGTCACATCTGACCCTTATTACTTCTGCAAGGTAGAACAAGGCAGGAAAAATGGCTGTGCAGTGAGCTTCTTCATGCGCCAGGATTTATTAAGAACAATAGGGGAAATCAATCCATCTATGTAGAATACATCGCAGGCTGCAATGGGATAAAGCATTTATTCCGCTCTTGAAGGGTAGAGCTATAACTCATGGGAGGCAAAACCCTTAGTGCTCCGGAGTCCCTTCCCTTCATGTGTGCAAAGAAATGCTTTAGCCCATGGCAACCTACCCGCTATTGAATTTGTGTGGAGGATCTGCTGCCCTTCCCCTCCGCCGGCCCCTTTTTGGAAGGCGAGTCACTCATTAAAACACACCTCTGGAAAATGAAGGGGCTGTCTGTTCGAAGGCATCTCTTCATCTCGGCTTTATTTAAAACAGAAGAGGAGAGAATAGAAATGTCTTGGTGACGTAAAAGCAACCCCCCACCAATTTGGAACAGAGAGATTAAACCAGTGCAGGTTTTGCTGCAACTTTCTGCTGATGCCCAAGGACCAGGCACAGCAATTACAGCGGAGATGGACAGGTTGGGCTTTGTAGCAAAGCAAGCTGATGCCAGGGAGAGCTGTGCACTGTGGCTGAGTGTATCCAATACTGGCTAGCTACATGTGTGTCTCTATATGTAAGTACTACCCTGTGCACGGCTCTCCAGCTCGCAGTAGACTGCATGCAGAGCAAAGACTGGAGCAGTAGTTAGCAGGGGCAAAAGGTGACTGGGATTTGTTATAATCTTTCTGGGTGTGTGAGAGTGTGAAGGCGGGGGGGGGGGCATTAATAGTGAAATGGTATTTTCACTAAGCCTATTTTCACTGGGTCTAATCTATCTTGTGGGAAGAGGATCTCTTCAATAGGGCAGACCCAGTGAGGCTCATGAGCTGTTTGGAGGGGGTCTGGAGAGCTGAGGAGCACGGGCAGGGGGAGGCGTAGCAATTGAGCGGACACATGTCAGACGGTCTTCCTCGGCAGAGATGACTTGGTAGGTAGCGTGCTGTTGGGCAGATGGGGTTAATTCTTACACCCAAATCAAAAGGCGACCGAGGGGGGAATGTTTTATTAATGAAAGCAGCCCTTTGTGAGTATTCCTCCTGAGGCACGTTCCCTCCACCCGCTGCCTTCCCCCCTGGCTGCTGTCTGGCCCCGCGTCTTGCTCAGTACCTGCTCAGCTGCCACTCACCCACTGATGGGTTTCATCAAGAAGTGTCTCTGCATGTCTGAGTCCTGGGCCTGGGTGAGCAAGGCCATGCAGGAGGAGGGACAGGTCTTTGGCTTAGCCGGCCTGAAGAAAGGGATGTGCCACAGACAGCAAAGCTTGAGCTCTCACAGGTTGTATGCCAGCTTATCACTTGCTGCACAGTCACCTTTCAGTGATATCCAAGACTGAGAGACACCATGGTTTGCAGAGCACAAGGGAAAATGCAGGTCAAAAGTGGGCATCTCAGTGGGTAGGGATGAAGGGGAAAACTAGAGTTGGGTTGGGGACGTTTGGAATGCCCCCTTCCCATTCAACTGCCTCGCTCTTCTGCCAATGAATGGTCTCTAGAGCAAGGGCAGAGGAGCTGTTTCCATGCTCCAGAAAGCATTGCTGCCTGCTTCCTTGGGGGCACTGGGCAGCTTGTTGTGCCAAAGGACAGGGTTGTGCGAGGGGGAAGGGCTGTGAGCAGAGGTTATTTCTGTCGCTTTGTTAAAAATAAAACAAAAGCTGTTTTATGACAATTGATTCAGAAGAAGGAGGAAGCGGAGCTCAATTCCCAGAGCTCCTTTTAGAAAGGCTCTGCATGCGCACGCGTGCGTTGTACGTGTGTCAGAACAGAGCACCCAAGGAAGGCCAGGTCGGGAAACCTCGCACGGAAGCGGGGAAGAGACCCCGATGCATGGCTGCTTCCCTGAGGGAACCCCCGCAGGGCTAATGTTTGATCTGAGGCTCGGCTGTACTCCTCTGAAACCTTGGGATGTCAGGAGCTCAAAGGGAGCCTGGGACAGAAGAGGATGCTATTTGCATTTTCCTATGAATGCATCTATTTGTATAAATATGGTGTCTCTGTGCATGCGCACACCCCCCTGTGCATGCATTTGTTTGAAGAGCAACACGCTGTCCCCGTAGTGTTCTCTGCTTAGGGCCAGAATTGGTTAGTCTGAAATTCAGGCTCTTCCTGGAGGAGCTGTAACTCCCCTCCCTGCTCCAAATCTAGTGCTGCCTACGGACACAGGAGTCCCGAGAAGTTTTGCCATGCGATAGCGGAGTTTCATTGTAGAGGATTGCGACTCCCCCTTTCAAATTTGCACAGACATCAAAAGAGTCTGGAAGGTTCAAACAGATCACAATGTAATCAAAATGCCAAGCCACCGTCTGTTTCTGCCTTTGGGTTGACAAGCAGGATTAGCACCCAAGGGAAGCAGGGTGTAATAGTGTTTCACGGGCACTGTGAACGGCCCAGAAGTGCACGGAGTACAGAAAGGTTAGCCGAAGGGCAGGTCTAGCTAAGATGCATGGTTGGGGGGTGGATTTTAAAGCAAGGAGCTGTATGCGTACAACCTCCATGGATATTTCCTTTAGCAGAAGTAGGACCGTCCTGTTTATGGCTACGTCGTGCTAGAAGCAGTTTAAGCTCAACTGGAGAAAGCCAGTCTTGGCCTGGAATACAAAAGGAGCAATGAGCAGCAGAAGCGGTTGACCTATAGTGCTGTCATGATAATGGTGGGGTTTTCCATGTAGACAACGCCAGAGTGGAGCAGCCAGCCTGCCATGCCTTATGTTTCACTGTCTAACCGAGATGTACAACACAGCTTGTCTGCGTGCGGCTGTAATCACCCTCTTGCCCGGGTAATGCGTGCACTGGTTCTCAGCAGAGTCATGGAGCAGATGCCAAATTTTCAGTGTGTGTCATGTGCCTATTTTGCCATGCAAATAGCCCCATCTTGGCTAAAGACACATGAAATGCTTCCCAAACACTGCTTTTATGTCAGTAATTGCTATAGCCATCCTGAGGACAGCCCATGACCATGGACGAGAGTTCCTCACTGGGTGTCTGATATTGCTCGCTTGGACAACTGAACAACAGCAATGTTTCCATTGTGAAATTCCCATTAAATGGGAAACACCAGGTGTAGCTTTGTCTGTGCTGTCTGTATGACTTTACCTTTTCCTTTCATAATTGATTTTAAGTTTGTCTTAAATTGCGATTTAGGAAGGTTGTGTGTGTAGTTGTGCCTCTGCAGTTTCAGTTCAGGGTTTATTCTGTTTCAGAGAGGAGAAAGGCAGGATCCTTTCAGTACTTCTAAAGAGGCTGTGAGGAAGAAGGAGGCAGACTCTTTAACAAGATTCCTTGTGATAGGGCAAGGGGAAATGGTTTCAAACTAAAGGAGAGAAGATTTATGGATATAAAAAGGAGGTTTTTTACAATAAGGGCAGCGAGGCACTGGCACAGGTTGCCCAGAGAGGTGGTGGGTGCCCAACGCTGCAGACACCCAAGGTCAGGCTGGACGGGGCTCTGAGCACCTGATCAGCTCTAGGTGTCCCTGTTCGGTGCATGGGAGTCAGACAAGATGGCCTTTAAGGGTCCCTTCCAACTCAACCGATTCTATGGTTCACTCTCTGGTGTCTGGGCAGGCCTTGGCTGCCCTCATGGCTCCAGACATTGGACATGCCTGGTGGGACAGGCATGGCGAGAGCGCAGCGGCTGCAGCGGTCATGCACACACACCAATGTGCGCTGCCTTGTGCAGGAGAGCTGTGCTGTGGTGACTGTCCCCACAAGCTCTGCACTTGGCGCTGCAGATGAACGGCCTGGCTAAGATGGCCGCCCGCCCTGCCTGCGGGCACGCTCAGGCCTGTGATGGCGTCTCCTTGTCTCCCTTTGTCTTCAGGGCGGCAGCATGGCTGCCCATGCTTCCAGGCCCCAGGTGCCAGCTGCCGGCTGGAGGGCAGCCCGCCGGGACAGGCCCTGAGGTAGCGTGGGCCCTGGCGGCCATTTTGAGGGAGGCGAGCGCTGCTTGTAAGATGGCCGCATGGGCATGAGGTGGGGTGCAGCGCTGCCTCGTCTTCACCACGCTGCCTCCCTCACGCCGTCCCCTCCTTATCTTGCTAATTACCAATGAAGGCAGAACAATAACGGGAGCTGGCATGCCCCAGTTCTTTCTCTGCCACCTCCTTCCTCGGGCGGAAAATCTGCACACACACACACACACACATGCACACCCCCGCCCGCCAGCCCCTCTGTGATATTAATTGAATTAACATACTTCCTAATTTGCCCTGTGTTTTCCGCGCTCCGTCTCCCAGCCGCCTCGTCATGGCTTATCCAACTGGTGGGGAAGGAGCGGACGCATTCTTCCCCCTCCGCTCGTTTGGTTGTATGCGAAAAATCCTTAATGACATATAAAAGGGG